TTTAGCGAAATTATGGGCACTTGAGGCAATGAACTCGCGTGAAATTACGCATCAGATTATTCAATAGATTTCACTTAATTGACGAACGAACTATAAAATGATACTTCTCAAAATGTATGAAGAATAAATTATGTAATCAATACCTACTAGTTTATTTTTGAAATTTCATGAATTTATATAGGTTATTTTTAAATTTCATTATTTCTATATTTCATCAAATCACCCGAACTAAGGCTATATCGACTGCCATGTTCTTCTGATATAACTTTCACCAGAGGGCGCAAAAATCATCGTGAACTTATGCCTATTTTTGAGGTTGCAGAGGATTGGCTCCTGACGCTTTGTGAAGAAACCAAGCCACATTATGATTTGATTTTTTTTCTGTAGCATATTGAAGGTTCATTCTAGGGCGGATACTATCTGAAAATCTTGAACAAGCAGTATAAATATTTTTTTTTCGTCAGCTAATAATGCTATATTCAAATACATTTTTGAAACTTTTTTTTTTCGAATTTTGAAAAATGAGATAGTATCCGCCCTAATTTGAACCTTTGTCTATATGATGGCGTTTAAAAATGTACTATATGCCAAACTGTTTTCGCATAAAGCGTCAGGAGCGAGAGCGCTGTATTCATCATTTTTCCAGTCCTATTGCCCACTCTTAAATGATAACTTCATTTATAACATCCGGGAAACCATCGAAATATCCACATAACATTTCAACCCTAATCGGTTCAGCTGTTTAGAAGTTAAGTGAAGAAGATAAGTACGGAAGGATAATTCTTGTTAACCGTTGTCCTATTATCGTTTTTCCTTAGGATTGAAGCATTTTCCAGTGCTAAAAAGTTGCTTATGTTCATCAGGGATAATGTCGACTTCTAATAGTGAAAGAATTTTTCAAATTGGTCCAGTAGTTTCGGAGCCAATTCAATACAAACAAGCAAATCTTCCCTCTTTTTAATAGGAACCAAGTGTTTTTCAGTTGCAACTTGCCATCATGGAGCGTTGGACGCTAGAAAGCAACGCGTGTTCGTTATTGTTATTTCACAAACACTTGATTCCTATGCCCCATCCTGTACAGTCGTCTCTAGACAACATGTCGCACATGGATGGTGCCAGCTCTCTTAATCCCCGCTGCAATAAGAGCGCTCACACCGTCCAATCGCGACATGTTCACTGAAGACGAGTGCATAATTTCTTACAAGGGGTCTATTCAGTAACTTATCGTTAGAATACGATATAGTTACCTTAACGATACATTGACCAACGACATTTTGAACGATAAATTCTAGAAGCTTATTCAGTATCGATGTCGTTAGAGAAAAATCTGGGGACATGGTAATAAATGAATTTGGTGAATGTTGGTAACAGTATGTTGATGTTCTATGGCTAAAAACGAGAGAGATAGAATTTGAATGGTATGTTATTTTTGTCAAATAATATAGTCAGTACTTCGTCTTCCAGAAAACAAAATGGTTGTTTTTGAGTTGAAAATTTCATCAGCTGTCTGAGGGAACTTCACAACAAAATTATTCACAATAATATCACAGATTAACAAACCCACTTCACATTGCGTTGAAATGAACTGTTGAGTCTTTCTGTACTCACATCAGGATTTTGATAAGTTCATGTAGATGTCATGAAATGTAAAGCAGTAAAAACTGAAAAGATGAAAATTCAATGAAGAAAACTATGAAACAAAGGACGGCAAAATAGCACAGTGGTTGAAGCGCTCGACTAGTACACAGAACCTCGAAAGGTTGCTAGGTTCGAACCCCTGGCAGAGCAGAGTTTTTATTTATAAAACGAGAAAAATTCTAATTTTCGTTGCCTCGACCGGAGATATGATTTCGCACGATTGGCTGTTGCGTTCCAATTGAAAAGTTCTGCTCTTGAGGTGGCGTATGAGGTCAGTAACAAATCCCACATAGAACACACATGGGCTGAAGGACCTCTCGTTAGGTCGATGACCAATTGGTATAGATGCATACATGCCAACAAAGATATATTATATTCTACTATAAAAAAATTACCTATCTTCTAATCTCACTCTTATGATAGGAGTGTTCTTGTGTTTCTATCTGCTGACAATATGAATCCTGCTTTTTCATTACATCTGAATTAGAACATCTGCTAACTCAAATGGATTACTCATAACCCTGAGTATTCTGAGTTGCTGTCTATTTGTTGTTGTCTGATTGATTTGATTGATCATTGTCTGCTAAATATGGAAAAAAAATCTAGTGAGCTGGAGTATCTATTGATGATATAACATGATATAACAATGTAATGTACCAATGCAATCACTAGAAACAATGAAGAGTTTATTATCTGCGTGCTATCTCTTCTAGAACTAGCTCCACTAATTCCCGGTTATTCATTTTTAATCAGCCATCAAATTATCTTTCCACATTCTCCACTCTCTGCCACTTTCTATATTATGTTTTATGTCTCCTTCACGTAACGACAAAAAAATACCTCCAAAGACACCTCAGCCGACGACGTCTATAAACGATAAGTTTTGTAGTACAGGTACGACAATCGTTAGCTACCGAATAACAAATATCGTTCCGTAACGATTATCGTTCGCTAACGATGTCGTTAAGCGTTACTGAATAGCCCCCTAACAGTCTTCTATTGCACCTCTCAGAAGTTTTGGTTAGGAAAATAGCAAGTATTTCTTCCACTTCTTGCATACTTCTAAAAGAAGGGGCATAGGAATCAAGTGTTTCTGAAATAACAATAACGAACACGCGTTGCTCTAGCGTACATCGCTCCATGATGGCAAGTGGTAACTGAGAAAGTGAAATGCTTCGAGTAGAGGAATGGATTGTAATGGCCGAGTACTACCCAAACCGAAAACACTTGGTTCCTATGCCTATTAGCATAGATGTTTCAACCTCGAGTTTCAACATGATAGATTTTTATTTACAAACTTGACGTGGGGGGTTTTCTATGCAGTATATGCTTGACAGGAACATGAAAAATGTTTAGGTTAGGAATAAAAAAGTTGACAACTCAGTTCATATAGATGTCTCTGAGGTATAAGTAACTGTCACAATGAGAGCAGGTCTCGCAATTGTTTTTTCCAATGAACAGACAATAAATAGATAGATATATTTATTTCCCAGAATCGGAAGAACAGTGGTGTCAATATTACATTATAATTTAACAAAAGGTATTTCCGATTATCTAGCAAGCATCGAGAAAGTCGAGCACGGTACAAAAACAGTGAATTTCAAGTGATATCGAATTCTAAATTGTGAGAGAAGTATTCTTCTGAATGATAGTAAACATTTTCATGCAACATTTTTTTCAGCCTTGCTTTGAATCTCAGATTATTTAAAGATTTTATACTGGAGGGTAAGTGGTTATGAACTTTGATTCCTGAATACAGTGGTCCATTTCTGGATCTATTGTAGTTATAATTTGGCAAAATATAGTCTTGATTTCTAGTTGGATATGTATGTTTGTTTGATGGTCGGGTCTGTGTTGCTCGTTTCGTATCAGCATAGTTATTTTAAATATATAGGTGTTCGTTAAAGCAAATATCTTGTGGTCTCTAGAAAGTGTTCTGCAAGAGTCTATGATTTAAACCAAATAATACTGGAATGGCTTTCTTTTGCATCACGAACACCTCTGCCGCGTATACAGGGTGATTCACATAAGAACCGACATAGAGCAGGGGGCATGCCCCCATGTAGGGGGTCTCAAAATATGGCAATTTAATGCAACTTACCTCTATACCAAGTTGCTTCCCTAAGGAGTTACAGGCTTTGAAAGTGAAGTTATAAATTTTGAAAAAAATCAATATCTCCGTTAGTCTTGAACTTAAAGCAACCAAATTTGGTACACTTTGTGAATGTATTTAGGGCGTTACTTGACAGTAACTAGAGTTCAATTGAAATTTGTAAAGGGGGTGGCGCACTATTAATATTCAACAGAATTTTGTTAACCCTCGATGGATTTTGAAAATCTCCGCTTTGTTTTGTGGGCAATTTAATTCTAAAACTTTTCTTAGTCTAGTAATTTCTCGAAAAACTTCATCATTTTCATCAAAAACTGGAATAACTGAAAACGCGTGCTCTAGGTGTGTAATTTAAAATCATCGAAAATTCAAAAGTTGGCTATGAAAATAAACGTTAAACTTGACAATGAAGCAAGTAAGTTGTTCAATTAAGTATTCTATCGATAAACAATTGTTTGTTCTGGTTGTTGTTCAAGTTTTTTGTGTTTATTTTGGTTAGTTGTTAATCCCAGTTTTTCACATTTCAGTATCTGTCCTTACTTTACGTATTTTGTTACGTATCTAAATAATAATTTGCCAGCCAATTTCTACTGATCACAATTAATGACCTACTTTCTTGTTGTACGTTTATTTTCATAGCCAACTTTTGAATTTTCGATGATTTTAAATAACACCCCTAGAGCGCGCGTGTTCAGTTATTCGAGTTTTTGATGAAAATGATGAGGTTTTTCGAAAAATTACTGGACTAAGAAAAGTTTTAGTATTGAATTGCCCACAACAAAGAATATTTTTGAAATCCATCGGGGGTTAACAAAATTCTGTTGAATATTAATGGTGCGCCACCCGGTATACCCCCTTTACAAATTTCAATGAGGCTCTAGTTACTGTCAAGTAACGCCCTAAATACATTCACAAAGTGTACCAACTTTGGTTGCTTCAAGTTCAAGGATAACGGAGATATTGATTTTTTTCAAAATTTATAACTTCACTTTCAAAGCCTATAACTCCTTAGGGAAGCAACTTGGTATAGAGGTGAGTTGCATTGAATTGCCATATTTTGAGACCTCCTACATGCCCCTGCTCTATGTCGGTTCTTATGTGAATCACCGTGTATAGATGTACCCCAAAATTCTATACCATATTGCATGATACTTTGAAAATAAGCAAAGTATACTAAGTTTGTGTGGTCACGATGTTGGTATCTCTCTTATATTATAACTAGCTTTCCTATTTAGGTCGACAATGCACTCACCTTACTGGTAAAATCGAAGGCTACATGTTTGTCCCCATGTATCACAGAAACGGAATATTTGTCCGCGTAGTTCGCTCGAGGCAGGCCGCCCGAGAAGGCGACGAGCGGCTCGTCGTTCAAGTTCTTCGTGCAGATCTTCGGGATAGCGCGGCACGCGTAAGGGCCGTACACGGTGACGGGGTCGCCGCAGGGTTTCTCCGATTGGTCGATGTTCCATTCCATATAGCTACCTGCGGGGAAATATAATAGACAAGAACGCAATAGGCGATTCAAAATAAGCGGTACGCCCTTTCGCGGATATTCAAAATCCAGTAAATTATAGGCCAATAGCATTATTAAGTATATTCTCCAAAATTCTAGAAAAAATTCTCAAGAAAAGAATTGTAGATTTTATCAATAAAAAATATGGATTCGATTTGAACCAATTCGGATTTCAAGAAAACAGTGGTACACAATCTGCAGTGCTACAAGTAATCAATTTCATTCAGGACAGACTTGACAAAGGAAATTATGTAGTAGCGATTTTCATGGATCTAAAAAAGGCTTTTGATACAGTTGACCACAATATACTTCTGAAAAACCTTGCTTCAATGGGAATCAGAGGAATTGGACACGATCTCTTGAAATCATATCTTGAAAATAGAACTATTATAACTGAAATTAATAACTGTGAGTCTAAGATACTATATTTGAACAAAGGGGTTCCTCAAGGATCAGTGTTGGGTCCAATTCTTTATCTATTATACATTCAAAATATTGAAAGAATGAATTTGATAGGAAACTATACCATATATGCAGACGATACAGTGCTTCTATATGAGAATAAGAACCCAGTAGTTCTAGAACGTATCATAAATGAGGACTTGAAAAAAGTTGAGAAATGGCTTCATTCCAATCTTCTTTCTCTCAATTCTAATAAGACTCAATATATGATTTTTCGTCAAAGAAATAAACAAAATATTGATCTGAATATTAGAATAAAAAATGAACGTTTGAAACAAACTGCCCATACCAAATACCTTGGTATTTGGATTGATGAGAAATTAACATGGGGAAAGCATATAGACATCCTCATAGGAAAAGTATCTCCCATTATTGGTGCTTTGAGAAGATGTCCTAAACTTAGTACATATACATCAAATATTATTCTCTATTCACATATACTCAGTCGAATTAACTATCTCATAAATATTTGGGGATCTTGTTCCAAAAATAGTTTCAATAAAATTTCTGTTCTATATAAAAAGGCATTGAAAGTATTGTATCGTCTTCCATATGATACTCCAACGAATCAACTGTATAAGGAAACAAACACATTTTCTTTGGAAGAGCACTTTTTAATCAATACTCTCAAAATTTCCTATTATATCATCAACAAAAAGCTTAAATCAAATTTTATATTAATCAGGAATTCCGAAATTCATGATCATCACACTAGACAATATAACTTGTTTCATCTTGAAGCTGCAAATTCTAAACTTGGACAAAAAAAGTTTACACATGAGGCGATTTCGAAATTCAATAATTTACCAGATGATATCAAAAACAGCCCAAATATTATGCAATTCATAAATAAAGTTAAGAAAAATATTTATATGCAAAGGAATGATCAAAGCTGAAAGACTATAAATTTCCTTTTTTCTTTTTTTTTTCACTGTTTTTATTTTTCCCCCTCTTGTTCACTATAATATGACTGTATTTTAATGATATGTAAGTTTTGTTCACTATTTGTAATTTCAATTATACAACAGTCGATGATACTTCATGAATGATCTTATACCAGGAATAACTGTCTGATCATTCATGTCATTCCTACTAGAAAATTAATTATACTTTATACATTATTTGTCTGAAATGTATCAATGAAGAATAGAATGTAATGCAATAACTGAAATAAATAAATAAATGAATAAATAATGGAAAGTACATTGAATGTTTGTTTACACTCAAGTTTCCATGCATTTTATCGAGAGTTTAGTGGTCATTGTGATATTTTTCGAGTATGAATTGTTCAGTAGAGTATCTTGAATCATGATTGCTCCGTTTCACATGTTATTCATAGTCCTGGGGCCCGATTCTCTAATCTGTAGGAATTCGATCCTATAGGAGAATGATCCAATGCAGTCAGATCTCATAGGAAATGATAATTTGTCATGACTCCTATTACTAACTAATGGAAAGTACATCGAATGTTTGTTCACATTCAAGTTTCCATGCATTTTATCGAAAGTTTAGTGGTCATTGTGATATTTTTCGAGTATGAATTCTCCAGTAGAGTATCTTGAATCATGATTGCTCCGTTTCACATGTTATTCATAGTCCTGGGGCCCGATTCTCGAATCTGTAGGAATTCGATCCTATAGGAGAATGATCCAACGCAGTCAGTTCTCATAGGAAATGATAATTTGTCATGACTCCTATTCTTGAACCAGATGGAATCGTTTTTCCCAGGGGATTAAAAAAGTGCCGTATGTCTTAGATAGATTCTTGAGCTTACATGAATTCACCAATGAAATGTGTGCAATTTATGTTGGTAACTGGTGGATGATTGAAATGAAATGTTGACATTTCGATTTTGACTAATTTTGAGGTTAAAGATTATTGTGTATTGTATATTTACTCTGATCGAAATGGATATGGATACAAACAATATTAAAAAAACCACGAGGTGTTAGCAAAGAGCATAAAAAGCTTTTAATAGAAATGATGGAGGCATCTGAGGACTTGAGGAAAGAAAAATGTCACCTCCAATTCACTCATAAGAATTCTAAAGTACCTATCTAACTATCTAGTAATGTCTTTGGACAAACGAAAAACTATAATGAATTGTGCAGCAGACAAACACTCAAATAGGTCTCTTCTAGGCAAAAACCTTCTTCTTGGTCTTCTAGCAAGGATTTCAGCCACTCTCAAATTTTGTACAGCCTCTAGATGATCTATTTTATCTATGTTTGCTATATTTTGCAATACATATGTTTTTTCGATTTTTCACTAGGGTTCAGTTCCCATAACAAATGAGAATAACTTCGTATTTCATGAGTGTATCCTATGGAAAACATGTTGTTCCCATGGATATCACCATGGGAAGCAGTTTTCTTGAAATGTGTTGGAATATTTTCCTATACAATAGTTCAAGAATACATCATCTCAAATTTCCATGGGAAATATCGAGTTTTTTCCATGGGAACGAATTCCAACGGATTCGAGAATTGGGCTCCTGTTCGTTTGTGCATACTCTTCCTGCTGAACTGAAAAAAATCCACTTCAGCAAATTTAGCAATACAAACGAACAGGTCTCATGAAAGTTTACTCACTGTATTTCACAGAAAATGATAATTTCAATCAGTGTATAATTGATAGATTTTGTTCCAACTCCGAAATTGAATTCAGTTGCATTTTATTCCCATAAGTGAAAAGTTACAGTGGGAATTTCCAAAAATTAAATCCGTACTCAAAAACAAGGCACACATGTCCAATTTTTCCTACTAGCGAGATAAAATATTCGCAGATACATCCAGCTTTGAGAACATCTCCTCTTTCATGAACACATGCAAGTTGATAAATCGACAATACATACATCTCAAATACCTACTTTATAAACATCATATTCACTCACTTAATTTGCAATAATTATTTTACTACTGGGAATGAAATGCAAACTAACGTAACCTCAAATCGGGGCATTTTCATTCTGCGATTCTCATGTATTTTAAGTAGTGAATCACTATAAAAAATCAGTCGACTATTGTGGAAATTCAATTTATTCAATATAACCCAACATTATTCACACTAAGAAGATGATCCACCTCCACGTGAAAAGCCAAATTTGGACATTGTTCTTAACTGGTTCGTAGGCAACACTGTCTATACTATACTCTCAGAATCTGCACGAGTCCATCTAACTGCATGTTGCTGAACTACAAATAATATCCTTCTTTCTGAAGCAGGAAAACCACTAACTTTGATATCCTGAATCCTTTGGATGAAAATGTTTGATGCGACATTCCTTCTTGAATAAAAACATCTAAAAATAAACTCAGAATATATTCTGCATTATCTTTGATTACCGATCTGTACCCTTCGGTACTCAACAAAAAGTAGTTCACTTTGTCGCTCATAGATCTCGCCACCTACTGAATAGAATTTATGGCTTCATTGCTCTCATAGGGATGGTTCATCTTGTTAGTGTACATAATCAAGGATATAATTGAAATAAAATATCGGGGGATTGCGAAAATCACAAAGTATGCGGCCTCCCAGCCTATAGTGTAGAACTTTTAGAAAAAAAAGGTCATTCTTCTTAAAAAATTCTGCAACTTATGAACGAATACAAATCAATGCATAGATTTCGGAAGGATGTAATTCAATATTTTGCATGGCATTGTTGTTCATTTTATGAACATTAAATTTGTGGAAATGACTTCCTATCCTATCTAGTTATTCAACATTTTATTCCACTTTGACCATTTTGGCTTTTTCGTAGTTAGAATACGTACATCTTACATTCTCATCGCATCGCAAGACAGGCAGAAAGAATATTCATATTTACAAAGGTTTCTAACCTCCGATATTCGTTCGGAGTTTCTAACAAATTACAAATGAAATTTCCGTGATATTTCCTATACTCATGTCAATTTTTTCATTATAAGAATTGTTTACCAGAACGTTTCGGTTTTTCAGACAACTCTGGGGGGGGGGGTCTAGACCCCATGGACCACCCCTTGATCACGCCACTGCGAATGCTAATTGAGTTTTATTTCGACCTAACCTAACCAAGAATAGTTAATTTCAGGTGTAGATGAAATTGGCTTTTCCGTGAGGAACTTCCGCAATTCAGTAGCCTCAGGACAGTGTTAGATTTAATACCAAGTATTGAAGCCCATACCTCCCTGGTTTAAGATGAGTGAACAAAGTGTCAATTTTTTAATTTAAAATATTGTTACTTGACTGTGGTCTTTTGAGGCTATCGCGGGAATGTTGCATATCAACGGCAATAAAATGTCTAGGAAGGTTTGTCTGTATTAATTGTAGGATCACCCCGGATTGTACCTATCTTTGTGGGCAATAAAGTTCAAGAATTGTCAACAAAGTTGCCTAATTTACACTTATTGGATAGACCCACTTAACACTGAGATTGTTTTCTCACTGGTAACAACAGATGATTTTTGGGCAACCAGTCAGCGAACCAGAAGCATTCAACCCACATCCAGTGAAGGACTTGTACAAACATGTACAAGGTACAGAGATACAGAAGTGGTTACAATGAAGATTCTATTTCACGAATCGAGTCGAATTGGCTATCTTTATTCGATATTTGGTATTCGGTTTCTCGAATGAATCGTGTTAACTCGATTCGATTTCTCGATAGCTCAAGAGGAGTCGAGTCGATGCGTTTTGTCAATCTATCCTTATCTATCATCGAGTGTTTCTTTTCATCTTCATCCCAATTTTAGGTTGGATCATCTTGTTTATGTGAAAGCACAGCTTCGAAAGTGTGTAATCAACTTATTACTTCATAAATATAATATATAATTAATTTTCGATATGCCCACTAAGGTCGTGAAATCAATAAAAAACTATTATTAGAGGCTAAGCCAAGTAAATTCATTGGGATTTGGCCAGTGAACTCCTGAGAAACGGCATAAGGTAGCATCATTGGTATGATCCAGTTGCATTAAACCTCAATGCACAGAATATTTGAGATTCTGTATATTCCCTTCATACTTTGGCCCATCATTGTATCAGAATACGAACCAATAACCTTTTGTTCAATTTAAATAGCTCAATAAATCTTTTTTCAGGTAAAGAAGAAGGATTAGTTAGGTATAGTATATCCAATATCAATTGCAGAATATCCCGCATTGTGCGGCGTCGGCGTGTTTGAAGTTTCATTTGAAGTGACTGCAGGTGCGGCACGAGATTCTGCAATTGTTTTTGGATAAACTATACCTACTTGTGTTTCATTGTTCTTGTAGTGGACGATTTAGATCCAAATTTTGTTGCCTATTTATAGCTGCTGAAATACAATCTTCGAACAATCAGTATGATTTTTATTTTTGTCTTGGGATTGAAGAAATTGAAATTCATAAAAACAATATAACCCCAAAATCAAATTTGTGATGGCTTTGGGGCTATGGCCTCGTTGCTCGTTTCGATGGATCAAAATTTCATCCCATTTCACCAAAAACCAGACGATTTCCGAAGTCGAATTCGATCGCGACTTGATCGAGAAATAGAATAGGAAATGAATTCGCCTTCGACGTCATCGTATCGTACGACAATCGACGATCGTGCAACAGAATCCCCCTGCTGGTAAGATACAATGGGCCACTAGGCCAAAGTTTTTTCGGAGACATCGGTCAGACGAGCGTACAAACGGGATGGAGTGTTTAGTGGGTTTAGAGTCAGGGAAAACACAAGAAAAACAATGGCCGAAATTCACCGTATGAGGATATTCTTACCATCATTGTGAGAGCTAAGGAAATGCCTTCCGTCTTCTTTCCAACACAGGGACTCCAACTGTTGATTGGATATGAAAGTTTTGACAGCTGTGTTGTCCGACCTATTCCATAGCACGATGAGGCCCCTATTGTAGCCGACCAGGATATTGTCCGGGTGGTCCGGCTGCTCAAAAATTGATTCTACAGCTCCCGGATTCAATTTATAATCTTGTGGAACACTGAAAAGAGGCATCATTTTGCAATTCAATGCTATAATACCTACCATTATTTACATTTTTACTACCAAGGTAGTTTTCGTCATTTTATGAACCACTAGTCGATAAAGACATAGCCACCACTATTGTAATTAGCCCAAATGCACTGTTCTGATCAGAGATTAGCAGGAATGACACTCGAATCTGATGGGTATTTATCAATAACGAATTGTCATATGATGTCATGGTCATGGCTAAGTATTGAGACTAAGTGCTTTCATAGTGACAATAGGTCCATATTTCTGTTTCACAGAACGAAAATGATTGTAATATATTGCTTATATTGCCACTTAAATTGTGTCTTTCAAGATATTTCAATAGGCAAGAACACAAATGCGTGAATTCAATTCAAATATGCATATAACTGAAACATAACATGAGAGCATTAATTTTATGATCAAATATGCTGTAATACTTCAAAAGACACAATTTGAATACCTTACAATTTCATGGAGCCTCCAAACATAGCGTTGGGCGGCAACTCGTCTATCCAGTACAGACGTCAAAGTCCCCTGTGTTGCCAGCTGTTTTATTTTTGGTAAATATCGAGTAAATACTTCCCAATTTTCACATCTATGACTATGAACTGTCGAGATGATTTGATATTCATTGATTTAGTAAATGTCACTTATATCCTATACAGGTTTTACCGCCGTTGCCAATCCTACAAGTTCATAGCTGCCATAATATCTAATCAAGTAGGTTGTATCATCGAAGACCGGAGGGGTCATAAGGACGATCTAGCTTTCAGAACTATCTTGTGGTTGTTAAAAAGCAAAGGTGCATATGTAGATTATACAACAATCATACCTTGTGAGTACGTGGCGTATAAACCCCTACGTCTATGCCTGGCCTACTACAACTGATGAGGCTTGGCAAGCCGAAACAGTCTGTCTCACATCAGCTGACAATGGATTCTCGAAATTTCCCTAGATTCTCTTAGTATCACGATTTAAATTAACTGATTTTTTCCAATTTTATTGTGATTTAAATCAAATCATGAATTGCTATAGAAACACGTCGCCGAAGCAGATAAGAAAGCCGTGATACATTGCCGAAAATATTCATTTCAACACGTTATGTTGCCGAGGAGATTGTCTAATTGTGAACCTAGACAACAAATATATTAGGTTAATTAGAGAAAAATAATAAAAATTAGTGATTTTAGTTCATTATTTCCATATTCAAGGAAAAAATCAGTATAATTAAAAAAATCAGTATAAATAAAAATAAACACGATAATCAAAAAAAATCTGATCTTTTTAGTTTTTGCAACTCTAGTTGAAATCTGTTGAATCTTGCGAGATATGGATGTTTAAATATCCAAACAAGCAAAAGAATTGGTTGAGACGGCAACGCTGCTTATATCACTGAATAGTGAATCATCAATTTTATATTGGCTACCAATAGACGGTCGGTACGTTTTAGTACTAGTGACGTCAGGACCCCTGACGATTTTAAGTCGTGGTCTAACATTTCTTTTGGAATTTAATTTTTTTTCAACTCTTGGAGCGCACGAAAAGTAGTTTCTTTGATATTCGGAAAAAATGGTGCGTACCTAGGGAGGGTAGGGAGGGGAGGTAGGTGTTGGTTTTTTTTTAACTTTTGGAGGTTATAAGTTCTTGGCAAAGAAATCCAAAGCTGTTCTATAGACGAACGAGTTTTGGTGAAGTTTGGTTCGACATAATTCAAGGATGACAACGAAATAATGTGCTGACTGGGCCTGTCGAGTTTGTCTGAGTGGTGTTACTAGTGATGGAATGATAACAGCAGAGTTGCGAAAAATCACAATTTGTTCGGAAAAATGAAAAAATCCGATTTTTTCGATTAAATCATGATTTTTTTGATTTATACAGATTTTTTGGATTTATACTTGGTTTTTCTTTGAATATGAGAATAAAGAATTTTAAATCACTCACTTACATTAGTTTTCTCTATTCGCCCAAAAATATTTGTTGTCTAGATTTACAGATAGAAAATCTTCTCGGCGACATAAAAAAAATTTGTGTTGACATGAGAATTTTCGGCAGCGTTCGTCTTTATAATGGTCGGCCCACGGTCTATAATGTTCATAAGTAAATTGCGTTACGTTTTTAATACACGTCCTTTTTATTGAATCTCCTGATGAGGTACTTTGGCGAATTGTTTTCAAAGCAATTTATAATTTGATTTGAATCACGATTAAAATTGAAGAAATCAGTTGATTTGATTTGATAACAGAGATTTCTGAGAAACATTTCCCGTGGAAGGAATAAAAAAATCGAAAAAAATCTGTGTACTTTTTCTCATCGTCATGAACGTCATGGCATGTTTTCTAGAAATAAGTGTTCTTGCATAATCTAGAAAACACCTCTATCATCAAGAATCATACGAAAAAAGTAAACAGGAATTGTTGCACCACGAAACCATGTTGTGGAAATGGCCTTGACTCTAATCTTCATAGATAACAATTAATCCATACTCACTTTTGCATCACCACATCCTGATAAATGATATCAGGTGTCATCGTGAACGTATTCAGGTCCAACAAATATATGTTTCCACCCTCGGTGCCCAACAACAGATGCTTCCCTGCACTTTCCAAGCACATTGTCGATATTTTCTTCAATTTCCCTTCTAGCGCCTGCGACTTGACCTCTACCAACGAGTTCCGGTTCACCTGCGAATTCGAAATGATCTTTGCAAAATTAACTTGTAGACAAAAAAATCACACCAAAAAAATCAAACAAAGATATTTTGCCAAACCTTATACCTATATGCAATGGTGAATAGGCGAAGTATCAGCAAAAGCTGTTTTTCAACCCCAAAAATAAAATAAGAAGAACAAGTTAATTTACAAAACATTAAAATAAAAAATTGCATAATATTGAGAAATGAATAAACAAAGGACTGTCATAAAGACATTGCTAGATTTTGATTATAATGAGACCTACCTGGCTGAAAGATCAAGCTTTCATCTCTTCTTAAAGTTACAGAGAGTGAATGATCTGAATTCCATGGAAAGTGAATTATAATATTTGCTAGCTGTATAAGAGAAACTGCGTTTGCATGAAGTTGAATTATGTTTTGGGATAACAAGAGTGGTTTTATTGCGACTGGAAGTTCGGTTGATATCTGAGAAAGTTTGTAGTCTTCTGTGGAGGTAACTAGGTTTACCGGTTTTCAGAACTTTATGCACCTGAGTTAACAAATGCAAATACTTTGATTGTTCTAACCGTAATCATCCAGAGTAATGAATCTATCCAGAGTAATGCATCTTAGAAGATATGTGATCATACTTTCGTACTCCGTATAAAAAACTTAAGCAAGAATTTTGAATACGTTGTAAGCGGAATGAATCATGAAAGACATTAGAAAATTTGTTCAATTTGGGATACAATAGTATGATATTCGATTCACAACAACTAAACTATGCACTATAATTATTCCCGATGTATTTATTACATATGAAATCCAATTACAATTCAAAACTATCAAGTTTCCGTTATTGGAACAACTAATAAGTTGTTTCTATGCGAAATGATCATTCACTGGGAATTTGTTAGTTTAATGAGAAAAATCTTGTTTTCTTTCTGAACACTATTTTTTTGCAACCACAGCAAACGGTATCATAGGCGTAGGCGAGATTGTACATCACTACTTGTGAATCGTTTGCCGTGAAATTTTAGGTGTACGTAAAGAAGTGGAAGTTTGTTGTTTGGTATACTTGTTTTACATTCTCATGCAAAATTGTTTCATGAACAAAGTGGATGCGTTCATACCACATATTATTATAAATAATTCATGATACTCATAAGAGTAAATTACAATGAAATATGTCTAAATGAATTTATGAAAATTGGTGTCCTCGATTGAGGACGCTGGGATCCATACTGAAATTTATTTTCACTTCTGAAAGCTGAAATAGATATTTTGTGCTATGGCGCGTTAGAGATATAGCATGAAACAAAAATATACATGATTATCCAAATCAAGTCTTAACCATTAGTTACTAGTCAATTGAAATCATTTGTTCGAATTTCATATGATCAAAAAATGAATAAGCAAACCATGGAATGATAAAAAATCATAATTTCTGATAGCAATTCCAGAGCACGAGTGATGAGAATTTGAAAGGAATTGAGGGAATTTGATCTTCAGTATTTATTGGGAATTAGAGGGGAATTGAGAGAGTTTGAGAGGAATTATGGAAACTTGATGTAAAAATTTATGAGAATTCGTGCACAAACCACATTCAGGCTCCATTCCGAATTCATCTGACAGTACTCATCAGCAGATTTTGATTTTTCATTTCAAAATCAAAAATATCACTGAAAGTGACAGATACTGTGAGCAGAAGTACTATTTACTCCAAATATTTCGACTCAACATTCTGCTGAAATTGCTGACCATCAAAATGTAGTGTGGCTTCAGTGACTGTCATTATTTTAGAGGGGAGAGGAATGTCACATTTATTTTCAAACATTAAGACTTGCCTTATCAATAATAAATTGATGATATCATTTTTGATATCAGAAAATGCCTATTATTCAGATGTATGATGCTGAGAAAAATATTCAAATTTCACCTGCTGATTACTGATGAAAACCATGGAAATGTGTGCCAATTACAGCACTGTTTTTTCGATTTTATATTTTGGAACACAGATTTTCAGCAGAGTCAGTAAATCTACTGACAGTACTGCCAATGGGATTCGGAATATAACCTGAAATGCTCCTCAGATTTCCGGCAACCATTCAAGATACCACATCGGTTCAATCAGCAACCTATTAATATTTTTAACGCTATTTACGATCAAAGAATGCAAATAACAATTGAGCATCAAGTCAGAATCAAATACGAATAGGATCGAATAAATATGCCAGTCTCCCAGACATCCATTCATCCATATACATTTATTCAACAAACATTGAATTATTGAATTATTTGAAATCTCCAATTTGAATGAAACTCATACAGTGTGAACCACTTAAGGCAGTTTTTAACCGATGCAATTTTTTTTGTTGCAGCTGAAGGTTTAACACAATATAATTAAAATTTTCATAAATGAATAAGAATTGATGTTATGTCGTTGGTGGTCTAGTTAGTAATAATTCATGCCGGTGGTCCCAGCGTCCTGGAACGATGACACCACTTTCTTCAAGCACTCGTAAATGAAAGAGCATTGATTTTATGGCGTTGGCGGTCTAGTTAGTGATTCATGCCGGTGGTCCCAGCGTCCTGGAACAAGGACACCACTCTCTTCAAGCACTCGCCCCTCATTTCCTTCCACAGATGCAAGGAATTGTCGTCGCCATTGACTAAGATATATGACATGTCCTGAATGCACACGCTCTATCAGAATCAAGTTATATCTCGTAAATGAATGAACTTTGATCTTAAGGCGTTAGCGGTCTAGTTAACAATTTATGCCGGTGGTCCCAGCGTCCTCGAACGAGGACACCACTCGCTTCAAGCACTCGTAAATGAATGAGCCTTGATTATGGCGTTGGCGGTCTAGTTAGTGATTTATGTAGGTGATCCCAGCGTCATCGAACGAGGACACCACTATCATCAAGCACTCGTTAATGAATGAGCATTGATATTATGGCGTTGGCGGTCTAGTTAGTGATTCCCAGCGTCCTTGAACGAGGACACCACTCTCTTCAAGCACTCGCCAATCATTACCTCCCACAGATGCAAGGAGTTGTCGTCGCACAGCGACACGACGCGTCCCTGGCCGGGCAGGAAGACGCACTTGGTGACGGCGACTGGCGTCTGGTGCTGGCCGTAGAACTCGACGCCCGGTCGACCGAACACCTTCAGCGCCCCCGTCGCCGTGCCGAGGCAGACGAGGCGCAGCGATGCGTCCCATGCGAGCGCTGTCGGCTTGTGCGGGAAGCCGTGCTGGAGGGTCTGCAACAAAATGAGGAAAAAATTCAAAGAAGGAAGTTTGTGTGCCAAGTAAAAATACCGTATCTGACGATGACAGGATGAACAACTAAGAACCGCTATCAGCAACGAATAATGATACAAGTTTGAGATAGAATAAATCTAATGGTATATGCAATCGTTACACGATGTAATAGAGGAACTAAATCTCAACAGACCAACGAAAACCACAAAATGATAGCTTTTCGCCAACGGAAGATATTAACTATTAAAGTTTGAAGAATGATATAGATATGACAGCCGTTTTTAGTTGTGCACCCGGTACATACTATCAGTCATCATATGAACATACAACAAAATTGGTTTCCTAAAGCAACATAATTCATTGTCTGTAGGTTAATCGAGGAGGTGGTACAATCATTATTCCAAATTTGGAATAATGCAACATAATTTGTTTCAAGAAAGTGAGAGAATTTTTGATATTCATCCATAAAATGAGTAAAGTTTGTAAAGATTATTTCATGACTAAAACATATTTTTATAGCCGTATTTTCATTCATAACAATTTGCAATTTACGCCTTATGCAACCAACAAATACACAAAAGAATTAAGTATTGCCATAATGGTACGTCATGTCATCGTTGGAAATTATATTAAGGTGAACGGTGTCACTTATGATTTTAGGTTGACTATTCCACTCTTGATCTCGAGAACCAATCAGAATCGACCATTTTCACGGTTTCTTCTGTATTCTAGCGATATTTTTTGTTTATTAAATTTTATCGGACTTGCTCTACCAATACAGAAGCCGACACGTGACCAACAAACCTCGTTTATCAGCGATAAAATTTTGACATCGTGTCTGGTCAACATCGTGTCTGGTCAAGATTGCTTTGGATTCAAATCTGAGACAATAACCCAAGTTCCTACTTCATTTTATTTACTTATAATTCGCGTTAGTGAGATATTTTGTACGAATGGCGAGACAATTTCATTCTGGCTGGACGTTTCATGTGTAATTTAAAAAAAATTGCATATTTGTTGGCGGTCTGACATAACAATAATAGAATTCAATTTCCTTCTTGAAGTAATCTTCTTCGATTACTCAAGTTATTGTGACTGACTAATATAATTATTACTAGCTGATGTAGCGCAACTGTTAGGGTTGTTGCGCGAGGATATGAAGGTCGATGGTTCGAGCCCTCGGCGACGGTATCTTTTTTTTTAATTATTCCATGTCACATAAATTCAATTTATTTTGTTCGAATTAGATAGTAATTGTATAAACTCTTTTGAGAGCAACCATCTCCAAGATAATAAAAAAAATACTGTTTATCAAAATTGTACATTCCACTTTGTGAATAACTATAAATAGGTAGTTAATTTCTAAAAAAGTAAATTCTGTATTTTATTACTATCATTATGTTCTTCTTCGTAGTTCGAGTTGGAATATACTTAAATTATGTTTCCTATTTCTTATATAGTACATATATTGTCTCATTCAATCATGAAATAGTCATATGAATACAACTCGTGATACTATTTTTCCTGGAAATATTATCACTTGAGGTATTATATATGATTAAAAGTGATAAAAAATATCAGTTGTATGAAATTGATATATCGAAATTGAGTGGAATAACCAAATGTTATAGATTATTTGGTCTTTTCCACGAAAACTTGTTCATTTGGTGAAAACATGAAAACAAACCCCGATTGATAAAATCACGAGTCTTCTACTGAATTTCCAAAAAAATAATCAACAACTTTGACTTGGATTTAATTTGAACAGGTGTGAACATATTCATTATCATCACAATAGCCATAATAATATTCGAATATTTGTATTGAGCAACCTGATTGCACTATTTCTATTGTAATATTTACACAGATAGGTATATTTACGATAATAAATGTCAGTTTTTCCACTTAGCAGTAGATATCATATAGGGCGCGTCAACAGATTCGTTTTATCATTTACAAAAGACGGATTTATGCACGCCGCTTTTTCATCAATATGTAGGTTTCACAGTCATTAAAGATTTCACTAATTAGTTGAAACTTGGTTTTTCTGTTTAATCATTTATGAACCCAAATTAATTTTTATCTTTCATTAACTATTCGCTAAAAGATGACCAACTTTTATCTCTTGACGACAAATACAAGTAAAAGTGTGACTTGTGTGTGACTTCCATCAGAAGTCAGACATACAATGTCTTCTTCTTATTTCTTCAAAATATAGTTAAAAATTCACAAAATTCTAGTTGCCTGTACAAATTAGACTTAGAAACCAATATAAACAAATTAGCCTTATTTTAATAATGTGAGCAGTGGAGTGAAGACTATGTTTGGATCATGAAGAAGAGTTTTAAATTAAAAAAGTTCCTACTTTATTTTATTTACTTATAATTCGCGTTAGTGAGATATTTTGTACGAAAGGCGAGACAATTTTATTCTGGATGGACGTTTCATGTGTAATTTGAAAAGTTTGCATATTTGTTGACGGTCTGACACAACAATAATAGAATTCAAATTCCTTTTTGAAGTGATCTTCTTCAATTAATCAAGTTATTGTTACTGACTGTCATAATTACTAGCTGATGTAGCGCAACTGTTAGGGTTGTTGCGCGAGGATAAGAAGGTCGATGGTTCGAGCCCTAGGCAACGATATTTTTTTTTAATTATTCCATGTCAGATAAATTCAATTTATTTTGTTTGAATTGGATAGTAATTGTATACACTCTTTTGAGAGCAACCATCTCCAAGATAATTTTTATCTTTCATTAACTATTCGCTAAAAGATGACCAACTTTTATTTCTTGACGACAAATACATGTAATGTAAAAGTGTGACTTGCGCAGGCGCGATTCCATCAGAAGTCAGACATACAATGTCTTCTTCTTATTTCTTTGTTCAAATTAGACTTTGAAACAAATATAAACAAATTAGCCTTATTTTAATAATGTGAGCAGTGGAGGATAGAACACCAATAATTTCATAGGGCATAGGGCTAAGTACGCTGAAGACTATGTTTGGATCATGAAGAAGAGTTTGAAAAAAAGGAAGTGCATAAAGGCATCAAAGTCCTTAAATAAAAATGAATTTATTGACGGTTAGTGAGAGCAACAGATTAATGAAAAAGCGGTGTGGGATCTCATAAATAGCTATTTTTCAAACATATCTCAAGAACCTAAGTTCTATTATTCCAAATTTTTTGGGATTTTCTCTCCTCGTTTCTATAAAATAAAAGTATGAATATTATTTCAATATACGTGTAGTGAGGACAAATCAGATGATTTGCCCCAAAATGTCACTGCGTTTAAAGAATTTTCCTATCAGAGAGCCTAAAAGAAAAATTCACTAGCTTGTCAGTGTTGGTGATGAATTTCAAGTGAAAACTGTGTTCAAAACTGAAAATACAATGAGATCAATTCTAACTCAAACAAAGCCGCAAAATGAAGAACAATCGTCAAAAAATTGTACTTACAGTATACCTTGTGTTTGTGGAAAGTTTTATACAGGTGAAACCAAAAGACCTCTTTCAGTAAGGACGAAGGAACATAAGTACAATATAAAGAGAAGAAACATCGATAAATCGAAACTAGCTGAACATATCCTTACTGAAGACGGACAACATATGGCAGAATGGAATAATATTAAAATCATTGGAAAAGAAGATAACAACCAGAAGAGAAAAATCAAGGAATCTGCTCGAATTCTTCTGAACGGAGACAATAGCATTGCTTCTTGTTGATATAGACAGAACATGGTATTCACTACTGAAATCTGAACATGAAAATGGTAAATTCAAGATTAATTAATGAAAACATCCTGTAACTCATTTGATTGCCAACGTCACCAATTGTCATTGAAAACTGAAAAGCTTCAAGACATATTATACGACTTCGCTATTGAAATAATCTCTTTTCATGTTGATAACGGGAGCAGAATCGGTCCCGAAACGTCCAAAGATATAAGTGAAAATTTGATATTTTTTCTATATAAGTTTATTTCTCTTCTCCAAAAATTTTTTCAATACAAATTGTCACTGACAAGCTAGAGAATTTTTCTTTTAGGCTCTCTGATAGGAAAATTCTTTAAACGCAGTGACATTTTGGGGCAAATCATCTGATTTGTCATTACTACACGTATATCGAAATAATATTCATATTTTTATTTTATAGAAACGAGGAGAGAAAATCCCAAAAAATTTGGAATAATGAATGTACTACCTCCTCGATTGACCTACAGACAGTATTTAACTAAGTTCTAGTCCATATGGAATTCGTTTTAGAGGCCTTGAAATGCGTGTGGATACAAAAATGAATTTCAAAAACTTCGCTCTAAAAAAACACCGTCGTATTTTTGAAACGCAAGGGAGGATACCCTTTAAAATTATTAGCAAACGACTGCCAAGGGGTCCAATATTATCCAAATAGTCGATTATCTACTAACTGCATCGAAAGTAAGAGTTTGCTCCCTCATTTAACAGAACAAACCTGAACAAACAACTTCAAATTTTAGGGGGATGTTTCCATTAAAATCACCTTTTTTATAATATACAGTGTGTCCATTTAGTGCGTAATTCTTCGATATCTCGAAATCAATTATCACAAGAGAAAAACTTTGGAGAAAAAACTTTCTCAGTTACTAAAGTTGCTCATTTCAAAAATATTTCCAACAATACTGGGTGTTTTATAAAAGCAAGGCAACTCGAAGACGAGTTTTTTTAAATGGAACACCCAGTATTGTTCATTCGAAATTTATTCCGCTAAGGTTCAGCTCTACATCGCTGTAAAAAATATTGAATTTGGGTGCGACGTTGCCAAGTTATAAATAATAAACCCATTTTCACTACTATTGAAGGGTCATGTTCAATTGGGTATGGTAGATTTATTTATTGAAATTTCGAAAATATTTTCGGCATACAGCAGTAGCAAGGTCTCACGTACAGCAATCCAGTAATCTTGCGAGATAATCCTTCACAGGGTGCTAAAATTTACATTCTGAATATTGTAAGATT